TCGCCGGAACTTGCCATCAGCAGAGGGTTGGAAGGGATGGCTTTAAAATCGGATTGAACTTGAAAGATCGCGGTATAGTGGGATCATATTCAGACGTGTGCCGTTTGGGTGATGTAGAGAGCAGACATGGAAGCCAATAAAAGTGCTGATCAAATCGCGTACCAGTTTCAGTTGGAATGAGTACACGTTTTCTTTCATATCCCCCCCCCCCCTCAAGTTCATGAAAATCCCATTTCATTTATTTCATTTTATGAAATGAAATTAGTGCACATTGCAACAAAAACTGGTACCTGATTTGACAAGCTCTTTCGTTCGCTTCAGTGTCTACTGAAGAAGAACAACTAAACTTTATTTTGACGGAAGAGGTAGAAAAGGGGTACTTAGGAGCATATTGGTTGGGTCCCCAACCTGACTGGCTTCCAAAGCTCGCCTAACGTGACTCAGAAGCGTTAATTGCACCTCTGGGTTCAAGCGGGCAAGCTGTGCCTCCTACTGCTCTGGACTGACTACAATGATATTGGCTGAAAAAGATTTCAAATTATCTGGCTTCTGGTCACACTCCTAAGAGACGTGATATTACGTTGGAAAACCACCACGGCACGGACAAGCGTTACGGTACAACGTAGGGTATACTTTGCTGAGCCGCTAAAGGAGTTCCGTCTGCCCCTTGCGGAGATCCGTGGCGTCTTTCGCTTGAAACGATTCATATATTTATGGATTTGATATAATGTGCACAAATGAGAACGAATCAAGGGAAGTTACACTTAAGGAGAGCCAACATGCCATACGTGGCACAAGGAAGATACAAATGACACAGCTAAGACCGTCCTTGGGGCCAGCTAACACCCCAGCTTCTTGGCAAGAATATAAATATAGGAGGGTGGATGGGCGCGATGCCTAGTGCCATTGATATAAGTCGTGCCTCCTAATTGTATCATTCATTGTTTTCTTGCATGAGGGTTTTGAGTTAACTTATTCCATATCAAACATAGGGTTACTCCGTGACTCATCATACGCAACAAGGTTGCACAAGAACCACTTGATTGTTCGAGGTCGAGCACTCGTACCAACTTTGCACAGTTCATCCACAATTGGAGGCCCATTCTGAAGGTGGATTTCGATAGATATATGTTCATAGCTTGAAGTGCTTTAAGGAGTTCAAGATTTGGGTCTCTTGTCACATGACTGAAGATGAAAAACAAGGAAATAATACGCTGGACAATTAAAAAGAAGGTGACATGACAAATCTGGACAGGACCGGGCAGCTTTGTCCTGGTGCATAATTTTCTTTGTGTGTCTTCTTTTACTTCGCTGCTTTTTTTTTTTGATAAGGCCTCATGAAACGCGGATTCGTTAAAAAAAGAAACAGCTGTGCAGCAGTGCGCATGATGGAAAGTCCTCGTCGTGTGCGCCACTGAGAAATCCAACACAATGCGAACAATACAAGCCCAGGAACCCTTCAAGCGCAGTGCCTCTGTAAAGTGCCTGTATTGCCACTTCAGTTATCAGCACTAAATAACTTCAGCGCCTTCTCGCAGACCACTGCATGCACAGCGTTTTGCTCAGCGACTGATATTACCGAGGTCACACACAGTCTTATTGAAGCGACTCGACGCTGTTTCGTATACCCTATAGGTTTACTGTCACATCAAATGAGCTTTACTTGCTCAAACCTTGATATTATTATCGGACATGTCCTATCTGGGGATCGATTTTGATCACCCGAAGTTCCCTGAAGATTGCTTCAGTTTCAGTACGAGAAGTGTTTGTGCATTTCGATCTCTATAGAATCGTGGTGCCGATATTTGTGTTGGACTGAGCTTACAAATTTCAAGTTATTTACTTTGGTTAATATAGGTACACTCTTACGGGGTTTTCGAAATGTATTTTATAAAGCTTGAAACGCTTCACAAATTGTAACAGGATCCCTTATCGTGGGGCGTTGTATACTTCAAGTCAACAGCACGACGAAGGACCAACCGTCACCCGTTTTCCGTGGTTTGATTGAGCAGATGTATTATATGCCCGCCGAATTCCGGCGCCTGATTCAACACATTTACGACTCCGAATATCTGCCTTCCTCGAAGGCTTACTTCGCATTTCCTGATAAATGCCCTTTCCGTTGATTCAATTGACCATAGTCGTTTTCACAGATTGCATGGTCACCTCAGCTCTTTTTTTTTTTCCAATGTTCAGCCGAAATATCACCTATACCCTTTATGTTACCCTGATAGGCTCTGCTGTTCGCACTAAATATTAGTCCTATGCTTTCTTGTTCACTCACTCATGGGCTCTAATCGTTCGAGTTTCCACGAGAGTTTGTCAAGTTAGGGTAAGCAGAATGTAGCGACGGCAAACTTTATTGACTGCGGATGTCGCTTTTCAAGAACAGTGAGCTGCCGTAAAATATTCGCGAATTCGGTGCGCTTCGGCCCGTTGGAATGCTTCGTCTGAATTTACGTCTTGCGATGAGGATACATGTGTAAGTGTTTAAATCTGGACAAACGAACTCCAGATGATGCCCGTTGCCAGACACTGTTGTATGCTCTTAAACCTGCCACGGCTTTGCAAGACGAATATTCGGTGTCGTGTGAACGCAAACAGCTTCTTGTGCTCCCTTTCTCTTCAGCGAAGCCTAATTTATCGCTAATGTACCTCGCATGGGCAATGTGTAATTCTGGTCCAGTGTATATAGATTAGGCCTAAATCTAAACACGTACCATACAGTATATTTTTATGTAAATTTTATTTTTACTCCCACAGAAAGAAGATCACCGCAAAGCAGTTTTGCACCCGTGGCCTCTTGGTCAGCCGAAAAAAAAGTGCCGCCATATCCATGAAGTGAATGATGATGAGTGGGCGAAGCTCCTGAGGTAAACCTGGTAAACCATGAATCCTTTGTACATTCTGGCCACTCGATTTTATTACAACGCTCCTCCTAGCGTACGTCGCCGCACTAAATCGAACGATTGCCTTACACCAATGACACACGCCATATGTGACATCATTCCTATTTTATAACATCTCGCATCTTTTCATCATCGGCTACAAGTACCTCCATCTAGTGAACACTGCGAGAACTAAACGAGAGGTGGTTATATACAGGGGACGGTACCGCCATCTAGTGAATACTGCAAGAACTAAACGAGATGTGGCTACATACAGGGGACGCACAGCCCACGCCTTAAGGAGCTTCGCCCTTAAAACTCCATATTGGCTGATACGACGCGACGGGTGAGCAACCTCCTTCCAGACTATCGTTGTGCGGCTGCCAAGTTCTACTGAATCAGGTAAACCGGCGTCTTGACTCTTTACACGTGCTACTCTGAGCTCCTCGTGAATAGACAATGCCTCCACAATAGGGCACACGGTGACAGTTGCTTCAGTGGCATACCTTATGTTCAGGGCCATCACCAAACAAGATCGAGCGTGACACGCGATTCTTGTACTTTATCTGCGCCTTCATAGCGTAGGCATTTTCATAACAGAGCAGCCTGGAAATGTGTACAATCTTGGTCTCATTAATGAGATCCAACCTGTAAGAATGTTAATGTTATATATCAGAATTTTCTTCTAATTTTGCTTGAAGAGAGCTCACAGGCGTAGAAGCCGACAAAACAAAAATACTTGGAGGGCCTCAAAGTACCCTATGTAGTGCAGTGTAGTAGCCACTGCACATTCCGTATGTTTCACTTCCAGGGCGGTTACTTCAGAAACGTCATGACGCAGAAGGCCGTCAGTTGTAAGGTCAGTAGATAGTGTTCATTATAATGACCACGGCTGTCAGTTTACGGCAGACGTTGTCGATGAACTGCTCCATAGGTGTAGCTCGGAACGTCGACATTCGACACCTTACACCCACTTCTACTTTCTTATCAGGGATTAGAAATGTGGACTTTGAAAGAAGGAGCTCTCTCAGCAGCCTTGTCCCGTGTGGCCTCGCCATTCGAGCCTTTCTGTTCAATAAACCCCCACACCCCCTACTTCAGACGTAACAATATCAATCGTCTTACTCGCTTATACACCTTGTACGTTGTTGCAAATGAGTTCTGTTAGAGTTAAAAAATAGCTGATGAGTTCTGTTGGAGTTAAAAAATAGCTGAAAAATTATCAAGAGTTAAAAAATAGCTGGCAATTCACAACTGCCAGTTCGAATCACCTTGCGGCTACGAAAAGAAATCTCAACTCACGTTCGAATTTTCCTATCACTCGGTGCTAAACAGGTTTTACCATATGTGTTGTATCCACGAGGTTGAATGCGTATGACAGCGGATTAGAGGGCCGGGAAAGCTGAAGCGAGTGCTTCATTGAGGTTTGTATAGCACTGCATTTAGATTGCGAGCACTAAGAAAGATTTGTTACAAATCTCGCCTAAACTTTGCAACGTGATGCTACCACGTGACCACCTTTGGCGTTATGAACTCACGATGCAGCCTAGCTTCCTGGGCGAAAATACTTCAATGTACTTTAGGAGAGCTATCACTTTCAATGAACGAGAACCAGCTGGCTAAAGAGATTGAGCCGAAAAGGGAGAGCATGAAATATACTGATATGATCACTGCATTTGTAAAAGAGATTCGCTTTCCCAAAAGAAGCGGGACAAAAAGTATGCAGTGCCAATAAAATTGTGAGGGGGGGGGGGAGGTGAGGAAGTCTTGCACCAAGCCCCTTCCCCTCCCTTGTGACGCCTTTGTTCACAGTGCCTTGAAAGACTTCAATATTGACTTTACCTTTATTGCCGAATATTTGTGAATGAGGCTGCCCCACGCCCCGCCGCGGTTGTCTAGTGGCTTAAGCACTTGGCATCTGACCCTCAGGTCGCGGGATCGAATCCAGGCTGCGGTGGCTGCGTTTCCGATGGAGGCGGAAATGCTGTAGGCCCGCGTGCTCAGATTTGGGTGCACGTTGAAGGACCCCAGGTGGTCGAAATTTGCGGAGCCCTTCACTTCGGCGTCTTTCGTAATCGTACGGTGGTTTTGGGACGTCAGAGTTTGGCAGTAGCGGTGACCGGCGATAGACGCCCGTTCTGACGTGTTCATCTGCATTTTTCACAGGACTCGGCGGCCGACGGAATCTGGCATCGCAAACATTGGGATTGCGTCATGATCTGAGACGCCCCTGCCCCCACCTGTTATCGGCAGTTTGGCAGTAGCGGTGACCGGCGATAGACGCCCGTTCTGACGTGTTCATCTGCATTTTTCACAGGTTCGTCCCTGTCCTGCCGCTGATACCGGTGGTCCTATTCTCTGGATAGCTGGTTCTGCCGCACTGACGAGCGTGGTACCTTGCAACGCCAGCAACTGCTACATTATTCTTCTTTTGGATGTCCAGGACTCGGCGGCCGACGGAATCTGGCATCGCAAACATTGGGATTGCGTCATGATCTGAGACGCCCCTGCCCCCACCTGTTATCGGCAGTTTGGCAGTAGCGGTGACCGGCGATAGACGCCCGTTCTGACGTGTTCATCTGCATTTTTCACAGGTTTGTCTTCACACATTCACACAGTGTTTTCCTTTTCCTATTTTTCTGCTGGTTGCTGCTACTGCCAAACTTGTCGTCGTAGTCATGCTTTTCGAGGTGTATGAGAGATGAGTGTTTCTGGGGAGGACATATGCCTTGCTTGCATGCTTACCCTAGAAACTACTGATGCTAAAGTGAAATGCAAAAAGTGTGGTAATTCTTATCACATCGAACAGTGCTCTGGACTGACTGAGCCGCTTGATAAGACGAGAAGTGGCACCAATTCTCGCAAAAACTATGTGTGTTCCACGTGTAAAACTGGTGCGCCATGCGTCGGTGCAGGTGCCGCTGCTGCGGCTCGTCAGGATTTTAACTTTGCTGTTGCTTTTGCGGAGTTAAGTCAAAAACTTGATTTTCTAATGCCACTAAATGAAAAGATGAACAGCATTGAACAGGCAGTGCAAACAATGTCTGATCATTTCGATACCATTCTGAAGCGATTGGACAGCCAAGATAAACAAATTGAGCAGCTCCGTAAGAGAACTGAACAGTTGGAACGAGCAAGGCCTGACGAGGAACTACACCAGATAAACTCTGACTTGAATGACCTGGAAATGCGTAGCAGGAGCCGAAACTTGGAAATTCATGGGAAACTTTTCAACGAGCACGAGAATCTACTCCAAAAGATAAACGAGATAGCCAGGATGATCCAAGTTCCTGAGGTCAGCGATCACGACCTTGAAGCTTATCATCGCCTTCCGGCGAAGGCAAATAAGACCCCCGCCATTATCATACGTTTTCAAAGCCAAAAGCTGAGGGATATGTGGCTGCAGAAAAGGCGATTACTAAAGGAAAAGGATGCAAACATATACTTTTCGGAAAACCTAACGCGCAGGGCAAGAACACTATTGTGGACTGTGAAGCAATGGGCTCGCGATAATGGCTTCCGTTACGTGTGGTATGCAAACGGGAAAATCTTCATCCGCAGGAAAGATGGCGAACCGTCCCATGTTGTCAGGGACGCGAGTCAGCTGGCTAATTTTACTGTGGTTAGGCACGTCAGCACATAATATGTGAACATCACGTCAAAATGGCTAACAATAGATTCGTGTTGCCTTGCAACATTCGCAGCGTCATGCCTACCGATTGGTTGGGCTCATCAGTGAAATGTTTTCATTTGAATGTACGATCACTGAACAATAAGGCTGATGAACTGCAAATTTTGTTAGACAGTTTTAACCTGTCTTTTGATTTCGTCATGGTATCTGAGTCATGGCTGAGCAGTAGCTTTTGTTTGCCATCATTTTCCACATTTGCCGTCAATCGTAATGTGGGTCGTGGTGGAGGTGTTTGCATTTTCGTTAATAAGAAAATCGAATGTGAATTGATCTCGGAACTTTGTTGCATGTCATCTGCTGTTGAGGTTGTTTCTGTATTGGCAAATAATACCGTTTATTCAGTGTTCTACCGACCACCCAGTGGAGATGTTGACGTATTTTTTGAGTACATTGAATCATATATTTCTTTTACTTCTGCGCATCACTATGATGTCATTATGGGCGGTGATTTTAATATAGACATGATGTCTAATTCTGCCCATGCAATTGATTATGATGTGCTGTTAAGAAGTTTTGGCTTCAGTATTGTTACTAAGCTTCCTACTCGTATAACTACTAACTCAGAAACACTGATTGACCTGTTTATTACTAATATTAACAATTCTGTTATACATTCAGGGGTAATCTGTTGCGATTTAAGTGACCACATGGGCATTTATTTGTTTTTTCAGAAAAAGCAGCCTAGATCTAAACACACATGTACCCCAATGGTTCAGTACGTCACACCTAATGCTCTTGAAAATTTTCACAGTGAAATGTCACTTATGTCATGGAGTGATGTGTTCAATGAAACTAATGCAGAGGCAGCTTATGAAAAGTTTCTTAGTAAATTCTGCGGTGTTTATAATAGGCACTTTCCGCTAAAAAAGAAACGTACTATGAAAAAGATAAGAAAACCTTGGATATGTAATGAACTTCATACACGCATTAAACAGAAGAATAAACTCTATAACACATACATTGCCTCCAAAAGCACACAGCTGTTTCAAGAGTTTAAAAGCTACAGAAACAAGTTGACCAGTGACATCCGAAATGCCAAAAAGCGATATTATGAAAAACAATTCGAAAATTCATTTCGGCATCCTGATAAACTATGGAAACAAATCCGTTCTCTGGACGCTAATTTCATTGAGGATACGCATTTCGACAAGATCACTCACAAAGGAGAAGATTACACAGGGGAAAAATTAGCTGAGGCATTTAGTTTGTACTTCGCAAGGGATCATTCTACACCACATAACTCACAAGACACCCCTACTGCCAGATGTTCATCTACTCTTTTTCTTGAACCAGCAGGTGAGAGTGAAGTAACGCAAACGTTTCTTGAGCTTTCAAACAGTACGTCATGTGATTTAAACAACATACAAATTCGTCCAGTAAAATATGTCATTGAATTAATCTGTGTGCCGCTTACACATATCTTTAATTTGTGCCTGCAAACCGCTACATTTCCTTCGGCTATGCAAATAGCAAAAGTAATTGTGCTTTACAAAAAGGGAGACAAAAATGACTTTAGCAATTATAGGCCAATTAGTATCCTTCCTGTTTTTTCTAAATGTCTGGAAAAAATCATACTGAAACGCATGGACAAGTTTTTACAATCTAACAATATTATCAATGATTCTCAGTATGGATTTAGAAAAAACCGTTCTACGGAAATTGCTTTGATTCATCAAAAAGAATATATTCTTGATAAATTAGAAAAAAATAAGTTCGTGTTAGGCATTTTTGTAGATTTTACCAAAGCATTTGACTGCATAGTACACAGTATCTTATTTAGAAAATTGGATTTATGTGGTATTAGAGGGCACGCTTTAGATTTAATAAAATCTTATTTATCTCATCGGAAGCAGTACGTTCAAATCAGCAATTTTCAGTCCAAAACGCGTGATATTACAGCCGGTGTGCCACAGGGCAGTATACTTGGGCCTCTTCTCTTTAACATTTATATTAATGATATTGCGAACATTGATGATCAATCCAGGTTTATTATTTATGCGGATGACACTACAATCCTTTTGTCAGCTGATACACACAATGAGCTATCTTCCCGTGGTAACAATGTATTAGGTAAGCTAGAAGTTTGGACAAAGGAAAATGCACTGTCAGTTAATGTAAATAAAACTAAAGCTATAATTTTTAATTCTATTAATAAAAAATCTGATACTTTAGTACATTTGCTGTATAAATCCCAGCCAGTTGAAATTGTCAGGTCAATAAAATCACTAGGAGTTTATTTCACACTACATTTGCAATGGAATGATCATGTCCACAACATTTTATTAAAAGCATCGAGAGCGGTTGGTATACTTTGGCGACATAAATCTGTTTTACCTTTAAAGGCAAAGCTTGCTATATACCACGCTTTATTCCTTTCACACTTGAACTACTGCACGTTAGTGTGGGCGACAACGACTAAAACTAATTTAAGAAAAATTTCATCACTCCATAATAAAATCCTCCGTCTAATTTACAACCTTCCTCACAGACATACAACAGATCACTTGTTTAGTGAACATGAAATCATCAATGTTTACCACCTATACATTTACAGGCTTTTACGCCGCTATAAGATCGAACAAAAAAAACGTTCATTTACTATTACAGATATCGCTTCCATGATACGTTATCAATCAAAGTACCCTCACCGTCATCAACCACCTTGGATGCTTCCTCGTATAAGAACTAACTATGGACAACAAAAAATTACTTATCAGCTACCGTTACAATTAAACAGGTTATATTCATCAGGTGTTAACATAGCAGATATCACCCTTTCTCAACTTCGTCAATATCTTATTAACACTCCTGACAATTAAGACCTTATCTTCAAAGTTCGTAGATAACAATTAGGGAAAACAATAAACAACAACACAAAGGATGAAAATGCGGTCACCGCTGCATGTAAATAATATGTTTAATGTATCCGTGCTTTACATATTGCGACTTTTGATTTATATTACTATATATGTTTATTGCACTGTGTCTGTGTGGGTTTTTTTTGAAGGCTTTATCAATTCTAATTTTGTTAATGTTGTGTATTCTTGTCAGCTGTGGTGTTCTGTTGCCGCCACCGCCACTGCCTTATGTACATTGGGGGGTGAGAACTTAGTCAAGCGGATAATCGCTTTTATTCTCACCCCCTCCATCAACTGTGTATTGGTGGAAATAAATAAACCATTATTATTATTATTAAACCTCACACATCAATCAAATCAGGCTGCCACACGTTCATTGCTGATATCCCACGCCGGATGTAACACTGCAAAAGCTAACGATGTGCACGCAGTTAGTAAGTTGGTGTTGCATAGTGAGAAGTGAGCTACGGCGCGTACAACAAAAACAAAACGAGGAGTGCTAGTGACGTCATTCTTTTTGAATATGATTGTACTCAATGTCATTCACTTCAGAATACTTGCCGTGGTTTTACGTCCCAAAACCACGATTTGATTTTGAAGGGCGTTGTAGTGGTGGGCTCAGGACATTTCTACCCCTTGGCGCCCTTTAACGTGCACTAACATCCCGCTGTACAATGACCTCTAGCATTCGGCCTCTTTCAAAATGCGAGTGTCGTGGCCGAGATCAAACCGACGACATTCGGAACAACAGCTGAACATTGCAATCGCAACACTACGACAGTGGACTGTGGTTCACTTCAAACTATGCTACGCTGCTTTGGTATCTACATGAAAGACGTTGCACAAAGTGAAGGGTCTCATTCCAACGAGTCCAGGAAGCGGGTCCCTTTGTCGGAAAGTTGCCCAATAGACGGCGGCCGAGCATGCATGTTAAATGCGTTATCTGGGCCGCAGACACTCGGAAACAACGTTTCTTGCACGCGCGCCCGATGCCAGCCAACCACGGAGTGAAAGGAATGCGGTGGAGACCTCTTCAACAAGGGCCATCGTTACTGGCCGCCGCAAAGAGAGACGGAAAGGGAACGGATCTGAAGAGGAAGGACACACGATGAATGGAACTGCTTGCTTCTTCTCCTTCGTCGCTTCGTATCAGCGGACGCTCGAGTTCCGCAAGCTTGTATGCGTGTGGCCTAGTGAGCAAACGCGGCGAGTCGCAAGTTCTCGAGGGCCCTTCGCGCCCTTGAAAGAGCCCCGACGCGACCGACAAATCATAGATGCCGGCGCCGCAACTACCGACGACGCAGAACGTTGACAACGGACGGTCGACGTGCCTACGTATGGCCAAAAAGGGACGAAATCACACGTGGACCGTCAGCTCTACTCGGTTCAACTTTTGAGTATTTTCGCTCGCGGGCTGGTTGACAGACATGCTTCGAAAGCTAGCGCAGATTACGCGAAGTCGCAAAGGGCTGGGCCACTACAGAGCTTGTGGGCGCCTAGCTGGTCTTGGTTTGGCAAGCCTTTTATCTCCTGGCCTATCTCTTGAACGCCACTTGTGTGCTTGTTTCTTTTACGAAAGAATCCCCTTAAAGGGGTGCTGACACCTTGATTTCGGAGGCGAGTTTGCTCTGCCATACAAGTTGTAGACAGAGATGGCTCTGAGAAAGTGTGACACATAGGAAATGCTGATAAGATACCTTATTTCGACATTAAAATTAGCTTTCTCGTGGCGCACCTACTGACATCGGCACTAACATGACGTCAGGCTGCAGTACTAATCCTGGTGACTTCACGCAGTGGTCTGGCTACTTGTGATGACGTCAAACACCAAAACACAAAAAGAATGGCAGCTTGTGCGTCGCCTTCTTGATAGTATTCTCTCGCCGTGTGGTTCATTCCGTGTCAGTACTCCATTAGGGGCTAAGACTGCTGGCTTCTCTTGTGTGACGTAGGCTTCTCTTGTGTGACGAGGTGTGTGACGTAGTCGCTATTCATCATAAAAAGGGGTATGTGGCATAATGGGCGAATCCCATTGCTGGCTACCAGTCCTTTAAAATGGAGAGGTCAACAGTTAGCCCGAGAAATAGTCAACCACGTTAGTGAAGCAGAAGCGCCCTTCCACACTTTTCTTAGGTAACTCAAGCCGGGCATATATAGAAAACAAGAACCACCTTAGGTTAAGTTGTATTCCGGCACAGTTTTCGCACGACGTCAGTAAACTCACTTCCCCACTTGCCCGGTTTCAGGCCGGGCACCACTAGTGTCTCACAAAAGAAATCTCTCTCAAAACACCGCATGCGTTGCCCTTCCCCAGGTTTGCATTTAGTGTAACTGAAACACCCATCTCTACATGCTTCGCGCCTCACCGATTTTTTTTTATGGAATGTCACCTGTACCGTACGTTTGTCGACTATGGGACGGACCTCCATCTGTATCTGCGTAAATCCCAGTTGTAATTTCCTTGTGCTCTGTCTATCTCTTGCTCTCTGTGTCAATTTTGTTCTGTCTTTCTATCTGATGTTAATTTGTCTTCATATACTTTAAATTAGATGCTATTTTCGTTTTCGTGTCTTCACATTTTCATTGCAAGTAAATAGCCCCACCACCTCAGCATAATCGTTTCATTCTCCGTGGACTTGTCCAAATGCTATAAGTACTTATTCAATAATAATTATATCAGATTATTCAATAATGAATATTAACTCGTCTTCATACCGGTGCTCACATCTTTGTAGCCTATCCACGCATTCGATTGTCTAGACGACGTATTCTACGCTATCACCGCGTTGTTAATGCCGAAAGCTCCATCGAAGTGAAGACAGGGTCGGTGGCAGCCAAGTCATCAAAGCGTCTGGAATCTCGGATAATACGACTTCCGCTATAGTGAACGAAAGAGTGTCGGTTCGACGGACGGAAGGAATGCCAGAAACGCGACCGCTTTCTCTCCATCTGTAAGGCA